TTTTTTTTTTTTTTTTTTTTTTTCACTGGGACTTGAACTCAGGACGTTGTACTTGACAGGCAGGCACTGTGCCCCTGAACTATATCCCTGGCCCCATCTTTTTTTTTTTTTTTTTAGTTTTTTTCTGGTACCAGAAATCGAACTCACAACCTTGCACTTGCCAGGAATGTGCTGTGCCGCTGAGCTAAATCTCCAGCCCCTTTTTTTGTTTTTTTGAGACAGGATCTCACTATGTAATTCAACTGGCCTTCCACTCACTATGTAGCTCAGGCTGGCTTCTTGGTGATTCTCCTGATCTGCCTCCTGAGTGTGGTATCACAGGCATGTGCCACCATGCCCAGATGGGCTTTTTTTTTTGGAGACAAGATCTTGTAAAAAAAAAAAAAAAAAAAACTTGTAAAGTTGGTAATGTGACCAGGCTGAGTTCCAACTTGCAATCCTTCTGCCTCAGCCTCCTGAGTAGCTGGCATTGCTACAGGTTTTTTTTTTGTTGCTTTGTTTCTTTCTTTCTTTGTTTTGTTTTTTTAAAGCCAGGAGCTATAGTACATACTTTGTAAAGCATTCTAGGATGCAGAGGCTAGAGGACAACAAATTCACGCAATTTAGCAACTTAGCAAGATGCTGTCTCAAAAAATGAAAAGGGCTAGGGATACAGGCTCCATGCTAAGTGGCCCTGGGTTTGACCACTAGGACCACAAAAATAACTATTTTGAGCAGGGTCTCATTGAGTGAGCAGTCTGGCCTCAGACTTGCAATCCTCCTGCTTCGTCCGCCTGAGTAATTGGAATTAAGGTGGGTGTCACTATGCCCAGCTGTAGCAGTATTATTTGTAATACTCTATTGTAAGTGTTCATCAAGAAGGAATAAACACAATGCAGTATGTCCACACATGTAATATTATTTGGCAATAAAAGCAAGTTAAGCCAAAGTGTGGGTAAACCTTGACACTGCAGTGGTAAATGAAAGAACCTGAGCTGGGTGTAGGGGTGCACTCCTGCAATTCCAACACTCGGGAGGCTGAAGCAGGAGGATCGTTTTGAGTTCGAGACCAGCCTGAGCTACAAAGTGAGTTCAAGGTCAGCCTAAACCAAAACCTGAAAGAACCCAGTTATAGGAGTAGGTAAAGCAGGTGTGCTGGTGTGCTGACAGTCCGGTTACTGGGGAGGCTGAGGCTCAGTCAGGCAGGATGACTGAATTGTTTTTTGTTTTTTTTCTGGTACTGGGAATCGAACTCACGACCTTGCGCTTGCCAGGCAGGCGCTTTGCCGCTGAGCTAAATCCCCAGCCCCACAACTGGGTGAATTATATGCTATGGTATGTGAATCATATCTCAATTAAGTTGCTTTAAAAACTGTTTCACAAATTTAAAAAAATCTATAGCACAAAAACAAAGTATACTGCTTGAGACGACACAGCTCCCACAGGTGCTTGTTCAAAGCAAAGAAACACCTTACCTAACTGCAGGGTCCCTACGGTGAACCCTTTGCTGTGCCTTCCCTAAACGCTGGCCTCCTCTCTGGATGGCCTGAGGAGTTGCCCTGAGCTAGGATGGGGGAGGCCGGAGAGCAATCAGTGGGGCGGGGGGGTGGTGGCTGAGAGGACAGACAGAAGGCTGCCCTTGGAATTTCTTCCCTTTAACCTCTTCAGTTCTTTTATGCAGCATGTGTTTTTTATCCTTCTCACAGTAGAATGGACATCCCAGGAAAGCTGAGGAGAGGATCGCTGTGAGTTCGAGACCAGCCTGGGCTACCCAGTGAGCTCAAGGCCAGCCTGAACTGCCTAGGGAGATCCTGTCTTGAACTCAGGACCTTGCGCTTGCCAGGTGGGCGCTGTCCCATTGAGCTCTATCCCCAGCCTTGAGCCTTTGTCTCAAAAAACCATAAATAATAAGTAAATTAAATAAAAGGGAGAGCCAGGCCTGGTGGAACACACCTGTAATCCCAGAACTCTGGGAGACTGAGGCAGGAGGACTGCAAGGTCAAGCCCAGCCTGGGAAATTTAGTAAATTAGCAAGACCTTGACTCAAAATTAAAACAAAGTAATAGTAAAAGGGTTGGGGATGTAGCTTGGTTCAATCTCTACTCTAACCACGCCCTGCCCGCATATAAAAGTTGATTCAAGGACTTCAAGGAAGAATAGGTTTTTGACTTGGGAACTGGTGACACAGAGATGGAAACAGAGGTGGAAAGGAACAGATAGCAGATCCAGGTCACCCAGTTTGGGATATCCAGTGGGTGGGAGAGACCTAGGGGACCGCACATGCAGATGTACGTGACATTTCTGTGAAAGGCCACACTCCAATGCGTGTGGGCCCAAGAGAAGGCAGTCTGCTTCCAGAGAACAGAACGGGCAGTGGGATTTGAAAGACTGTGGTCCGGGTAGGGTGGCACAGGCCTGTTAATCCCAGCACTTGGGAGGCTGAGGCAGGAGGATCATTTCGAGTTCGAGACCAGCCTGAGCTAGAAAGTGAGCTCAAGGTCAGCCTGAACTGCGTAGTGAGACCCTGCCTCAAAAAGACCAAAAAAAAAAAAAAAAAGAAAGATCATGGCCATCTCAAGGGACAGGCATAGGAGGAAGTGGTCCAGTGGCTGTATTTTCAGAAGCTGCAAGCAAGAACTTGCAAGCCGATTCCTGCCTGGCCACCTGTTTCTGACTTATGTTTTGTAGAATTCCAGGCATGAGCCTTCCCTAGAAGTCCCGGGTTATATGCGGCGGGGGCTGCCATTCTTGGCTGTTTATCAAAGCACTGTCACAACTGGGAGAAGCCCAGGGGATTCTAGGGGACTGGGGAGCTGGTGTTAGTGGTCCAGTTTAGCAGTCAACTGGTTCAGGACTAAAGATCCTTTTTTCTCTCTTTGGTATGCCAGGGATTGAACCCAGGGCCTCTACCCTGAGCAATCTCCCAGGCCCCTCAGCCTCTTGAGGGCTGGGATTACAGGTGTGCACCATCACACCCACATGTAAGTAATGGTTTAAGTGCAAAATGAAGTTGTAAAACAGCATTTCACGGGATGACTATTTTTCAAATATTTTGGAGGAGCACAAGTGAGGCTGGCATGGGCTACACAGCCAGACCTGGTGTCAAAAAGAGAAACCTCAAAAGTATATAGTAAGTCAGCTCTGATAATTAACAAAAGGTGTGACTTCGGGGTATATTCATACTGTAGTGTTACTTGCGTTTAAACTGTATGCTGAATTTTAGTAACCATGTATTATTACTCAGCAAAAACCAGGTTTGTAAAAATACCAATCTTGGGACTGGGGATTTAGCTCAGCGGCACAGCGCCTGCCTGGCAAGCGGGAGGTCGTGAGTTCGATTCCTGATAGGGGGTGGGGGGGGGGGGGGGAGGACAAAAAAGAGAAGTAATACAAAAAGCTTTCACACCCAACACTGACCAACCCACCACCCAGAAATGGATCAACCCAGACCCCACTAGAGGGAGAGCCTTCCCCAGGCAGGCCAGGGCCAGCGCTGTCCACATCCCTCCCCTGCCCTGAGCCCGGCGCAACCCATGCCAGGCGACCCACAGACTGAGAAGAGCCGGGCCTCATTGTAACACTCATTTTTATATAAATATCCGCAAGTCATGTTACAGAATAAGCCCCACCGGGGAAAAAAGTCAACGTTACGGTTTTGTTAAACTGAGCCCTGCCTTCCAGTCGGCCCCAGCCTGGAGACACCTGCTGCTTTGGGAAGGCTGGGGCTGCTGCGGGAGGCTGCGGAAGCAGCTGCCTGTGCTGCCCACCCCTGGCCAACCCCTTTCTTTGGTGTGTGGTACCTGGTGACCTTTTCTGCCCACCCCCCAGCCTAGGGCAGGGTTCTGGAAAAGAGAGTTCTACGGAGCAGGGCCCAGGAGTCCTGGGGGCACTTGGACGGGTGGGGCACTGGTCACTAGGAGGCGGAGGCTGAGGCTTTCCGGCCACGGCTCACGAGTTAACAGGGACAGCGGGGCGGGGGCCGAGGCCGGCGGCCGGGCGGGAAGTATCGGCCCTTCCGTGCAGCCCTGAGCCGCTGGGCGCCTTCCCCTGCGGGTGCGCCTCCCGCTGGACCCACATCCCCAGGACCGAGCCCCGGCTCTCCCCCGCCACCCGCTCCCGCCCAGGGGCCGGAGGCTAGGAACACAGCACCAGTCTGAGGGTCGAATTAACCAGGGACGGGGCTGTCGGAGGCGCCCCTGTAAAAATGTACAAAAGGTCTGAGGGCTGCGCGGGGGAGACGTATGTACACGGAACCCTTTCCTGCGGCCCCTCCGCCGGCCCGGGCGGGCACGGGACTGGGGTGGGCGCTGAGGGGCACTTTGGCCTCTGGCTTAGCGAGCCCTTGGGGAGGCGGCCAAGGGCGAGAGGGCCTCGGAGGGGCGGCGAGCACCTCGGGAGGTCGGGAGCCAGTGGGACGGACGCGGGGGACGCCCTCGCGGTGCCCCCGCGCTCCCGCCC